TAATTTTGTTCTTCTTAATTGCTAAAATTATAAAGAAGTTCCCGCCTCAAACTCTCATGAGTTAGGTGGGGTAGTTCGCACTCCAAATTTCTATCCGATAAGTGTCATTTTAGCAATGTTGATTAGCCTCTCTCTTTATTTACCTTTCTTGCCTAATGCTTTGCTGCCTTTTATTTTTACGACTGAAAAAGCGGCTATTAAGAGACTGCCAATAAATAGCAACAATAAAGCGATATTTCAATTTCTAAGGTTATTTTTTTCTCCTTGAACTTTACCAATTTCATTTTTGGCTAATTTTTGATAAAAGTTAGTTAATTCTGAAAGAGAAGTAATTTTCGCCAATTCGGTCTGATAAGTGGAATTTTCCAGGTTTAAATCTTTTAGCATGTTTTCGGCTCGCTCTTTAATAACTTCTGAAGTTGGATGATTTTCCTTGTCTTGTTCTCTCAATTTTGTTATTTCTTTCTCTTGTTCGGCTATTTGCTGGCGGAGATTAACCAGATTAGTTTCTTGGTTAGTATCCGGTTTAACAACCAACTCTTTTATCTTATCTAATACTTGTTGCCGCTCATATTTATCACCGGTTAAATTTAATTCTAATTGTTCCACCATAAGCTTCAATAAATCCTGCTCTTTTTGCTCGATTTGGACTTGAAAGGCTTCTTTTTCTTTTCGACAATTTTCTTCTTGCTGGCTTAATTTATTTTGGAAATCGCTCTTTTCAGTTTTTAAATTAGTTAATTCTGCCAGCACGGCACTAAAATCACTATAACCTGCTTGGGTTAGCGGTTTTTTATTAATTAATTCATTTTCTCAAGAGTCATCCGGTTTTTCCTGACCGGCCGCAATTCCTAAACCTTGTAATTTAACCTTATACTTTGCCACATCTGCCGCGTTTGCATTGGCTGGAGTAGACAATATGGTCTCAATCGCGTCTAAACGGGCAGTATCAAGTTCATTTTTATTATTCGCATTTAACTTAATTAAAGTTTTTAGATTAGTCTTGGTCTTAATTTTCGCAATTATATCATTATTAATGCGAGTTAATTCGGCTTCATTATCTTTTATTTGGTTCACCCGTGCCGTATCAATTGTATTATCGTTTTTAATTACTCGCAAATCATTTTTGAGTTGAGTGAGTTTGCCCTCCGCTGCCGTCAAATCGGTTTTTTTGACTAAATCATTCTCTCAATTACTTGGGAGAGTTCCGGTGGCATTGCCTTTAATTTTAATTCTTAGTTTATCGTAGACATCACGCGAATTAGTTTGTCAGCCGCTCGGGATAGCATTATTATCAATGGCCGTTTTAATTTCGTTTTCCCGAGCCGTCAGATTGCTTTTAGCCTGTTTGTGGCCTTGCAAATCCACATTCGTTAACTTATTATTCACCACATCAGTCACGGTGGCTCCTATACTTAATTCTCTCCGCACCAATTTTATTTGGTTTTCCAGATTATCTCTTTCTCCTTTTGTTGTATCAAAATCAGTTTTCGCAACCACTTCTGCCTCAATAACCCGTATGAGTTGGTTGGCGTGTTGAACTAATTCATGTGCGTTCTTGAATTCGTGGTTAGTTTGTTGTAGTTTGTCATGTCAATTAGCACCAGGAGCCAGACCGAGTTTTGTATTAACTTGCCCGTCATTCAGACCGGCTTTTTGGGCTAAATTTCGTAAAGTAGTGCGGATTTGGGTTTTGGCCTGTTTTAAGTCGTGGCCCGCTTGGCATTTGTTAATAGCCTGCGTGATGATTTTGACATAGTGGCTTAATTGTTCGGCATTGAAAATTGTGGGGTCATTGGCTTGTAATTTTTGGGTCCAGACTGCTCCGCTGGTGATATTCGGTTCGATTTCATTGGCCATGGTCGTAATGTCATTGTCGCTTAATGTTCCTCTAAAAATGTCTAAACGATTCGCAGCGTTAATTTTGGCATTTTTTATATCATCCGCCCCTTTCACCTTACTAATAGCGTCCGTAATAACATGAACGTATCGAGTTAACTCCTCTGTGCTCTTAATTTCGTTGTTGGTGTCTTTTAATTTGGTTTTTCAATCCCCGCTGGTTGGAATAATGTCTTTTTGTAATTTCTCGGCCGCGTCGTTAATATCGCCATCATCCACGTTTTCTCTTAACGCCGTTAAATCAATCAAGGCCTGGGCTTTAGCGGCTTTTAAATCTTGATTAATTTTTAATTGGTCGATGACTTTGGCTACTAAACCGCTGTAAAGATTTAACCTTTGTGCGTTGTCTATTAAATTGTCGTCTGGTTGTAATGGTGTTTTTCAATTTTCGTTGTTGTCTTTATTAAAGGTTCCTGAATGAAGGTAATCAATTTTCTTGTCGATTTGGTCGTCGGTAATGTTGGAGCCTTGTAATTCCTCCAAAGTAGCCAACGCTTCTTTTTTTGTTTTGTTTAATTCCTCCCCCTTTTCCTGCTCTTTTAAAGTCCTAATGGTTTCACTGACCGCTAGCACATAAGCATTTAATTCTTGGGCGGTGGTGAAAGTAGGGTTTTTGGAATCTAACTTTTCCCACCAATCATTTTGTCCGTCTCAATAAGTAGTGCCGTTTTTTGTATCGTCGGCTTGGATTTGGTTGTTGATATCGGTATCGTCTAAATCACCTTTTTGGACTTGTAAAGCCGCCAAGGCATCGGCTTTGGCAGTGGTTAAGGCGTCTTGGTGGGTTTTTAATTTCTGGCGAGTGCTCTTGCTTGCTTCCTTGGCTAACCTTACCAGTTCTTTTCAATTATCACGCTCAGCTTCTAGTTTTCCGAGTTCTTCATTCTTATTATTAACCGCATTTTTCCTAATTAAGTCTTTCTCTCAACCTGAATCAGCCGTCACACTGTCCGGACTTTTTCCATTCTCATCCGCTAAAAGAACTTTTAATTTTTTTTCGTATTCTGCTGCTGCTTCACTATCATTAATTAACTGTTCGAAGGTTTTGGTAGTATTCGAGAAATTTTTACGCCCCATTTTGTTCTTTTTGAAAAAACTTCAATAAATTTGTTTCGGGTTGGCATCGTTCGGGTCAGCAAAAGGGTCTGGTTTTAATTCCTTATCGGGCTGGACTTCTTTCCCCTCTTCCCCCACTTTCTCACTTGGCATTTCATAACCAATTGTTTCCAAAATTCCTTTAAGCAAATCATTTGAAAGATTGACTCGGTTGGCTTCGTCTACTACTCACTTTAATTTTTTTAAACTCGAGGTACTTTTGTTTTTAAAATCGGCAAAAGTGAAAAGTCTATTAATTTTGTTATTTTCTCATTCTTCACTAGAAAAGTCATGCGGGTTCTGACCCTCGATTTTTTTTGTCCCCAAGAAATCTTCTACTTTATCTTTTCAGTCTGGATAACGTTTCTCATCAAAACTAGCATCAACATCAAAAATCTTTTCTAATCATTCCTTAACCTCCAACAAATTATTTACTTTGGCGGCTCAATTTTCATCTTGGTAAATGTCAATAGAGAAATCGTTTTTCAATTTATCGTGGACTTGTTTCAAAGTTTTAGCCCGGAGATGAATCTCGCTTAATCTAAACACTTCCTCGTTTTCACTATGTTTTTCTGGGTCATATTTCGGAAAATCAGTTTCTTCTGTACCGACACCAGCCTCGTCAACCACTTCTCCCACTGCATTTAAATATTTAATGTTTTCAATTCTAACTCTATTTTTTATTACTTCCTCGCCAATTTTCAGCAACTCCTCAAAACTAGGGTTATCTATCGCCACCAGCCTTTCTTTATAGCCAGGTATTATTTTCTTTTCTCCTCCTTCCATTTCGTTCTCCTCCTCTTGGTTTTCCCAACCACTTTCTAAATCGGCGAGAGTGGCGAAAATGTCCTTTCTTAATTCCTCCGTTTCCGCTGGTATCGTTTCTTTCTGCGCCTCTTCCTCGTTATCACTTTGGGCTGGACGACCAGCAGTTAATTTTTTTCATTCAATTTCTTCTTTTTTACCTCTCTTTGTTATTATGTCTATGAAAATGTTGTTTGAATCCTTTTCTAAAAACCCGTTGAAAGTAAATTGAAATATATCCCCTTGTTTGGCGGATTTTAATTCTTCAATTTTTTCATGAGAGAGAATATAATCAAAATCAATATTTAGATTTTCCCCATAACCATAATTTTCGCCAGCCACCCTATCGTCGCTACCAATTATAGCAAATCTTTCGTAATTTTCCTCGCCAACCACTCGGTCCTTTCACTCCAAGATTAGGGTGTTTTTGCTGGAAAATAAACTTTCAAACTCATACCCTACTCCTCTTGAACCCTGAACTATATTATCTGACGGCTCCGCTAATAGCATTCCGCCAGAATAAGTGAGTTCAAAGAATCCTTCTTTTTTTTGAACTTCTTCTCAATCCATAAAAAAAGTAGAAAAAAGTTTTATGTTTTCACCTTTTCTAAAAGTTTTTAAATTAACGCCGTGCTTATTATGATTACCAACATCTAAAACCACCTCCTCATCATTAATTATCTCAAACTCTCCATAAGGCATGGTTTTATCTTTAAGACCCTGTCCCTTTCATTCCAAAATCACAGTCTTTTTGTCGGCTTCTTTGGCATTTTCTCGCAAAGCATCTAATTTGGTTTGGTCGAAATTGCCGTCCTCCGTTAGAATGTCCTTGTTCTTTTTCTCGTTAATGATAGTTTGGTAT